GGGAAAACATGACACTGGAGAAGACTGGAGAATTCAGCACCAGCAACATCTCAAACATTGCCTTCAACAGGATACTTTTTTTTCCCTTATACAAACCCTCGCTGAACTGTCTGGGTGATAATTGTGTTTTTCGCAAATGTTGGCATGCCAAATTGACTCATGTAGTCTGTCTGGTCTTTTTAAACCATCGTGCCCCAGTTAGCTTTCAACTCAACATGGTAATTAGAGAAATATGGAGAAATAAAAGACAATTCCTCAACACAGCTGAGTGGTCCAATCAAAACTGGTGAAACCTCGAGTCTCCAAAGTAGTAGTAAAGGCCCCGTATCCTACATTTTTCTTGCATTATATTTTTCCCCTGAGGTCCTTTTTTCCCCTGAGGATATTTGTAAGGTTTTATGTTCCAAAATCAGTCAATATCCAATTTCTAACCTCTCAATTCCCATCACTTACAATTAAACAGGCTGTTTTTGTTACTGTATCTTTAAGACAGATATGTGTAAATAAGCTCTGTTCTGATGGACTGTCCTGTATTGGGTCTCATTCAGAGTGCAACCCAGACTGAAACCCTCCTTATAACTTCAATGCGAAGCCACTTATGCTAAAAGGACTTTGTTCTTAGACGTGTTGAACTATTTATATTGGTATTTTCTCTTTTCCACTAACAAACATTTTGTGAAAAAAGGGGGAAAAGGGCTAAAATATATTGCTGCTGCCAAGACATCGTGGCTGTGTCTGGTCCGCTCATACCAGCACAACACACACTAGCATGCCACTGCCATTTCAGTGCTGAGAATGATTCACCACCCAAATAATACCTGCTCTGTGGTGGTCCTGTGGGGGTCCTGACCATTGACAAGCAGGGTGAAAGGGGATAACAAAGTATGCAGAGAAACACTTACACTACAGTCTGTAATTGTAGAACTACAAAGTGCACCAAAACTATATGGCCTAAAGTATGCGGACACCTGACCGTCACACATACATGTTTGCTGGACATTCAATTCCAAAATCATAGGCATTAATAAGGAGTTGTGGATAAACAACCTCCACTCTTCTGGAAAGGCTTTCTACAAGACGTTGAAGTGTGTCTGTGGGAATTTGTGCATATTCAGTCAAAAGAGCATTTGTGAGGTCAGGCACTGATGTTGGATTAGGAGGTCTGGCTTGCAGTCAACGTTCCAGTTTATCCCAAAGGTGTTCAGTGGAGTATAGGTCAGGGCTCCATGCAGGCAAGAGGAGTTCCTCCACACTAAACTCATCAAACCATGTCATTATGGACCTCGCTTTCTGCACAGGGGCACAGTCATGTTGGAACAGGAAAGGGTCTTCCCTGTTGAAACAAAGTTGGAAGCGCATAACTGTCTAAAATGTCTTTGTAATGTAGTGTTAATATTACCCTTCACTGAAACTAAGGGGCCCAAACCCTGAAAAACAGCCCCAGACTATTACCCCTCCCCCGCCAAACTATACTCTTGGCACTATGTATTCCAGTAGGTAGTGTTCTCCTGGCATTTGCCAAACTGAGATTTGACCACCAGACAATGAAGCATGATCCATCACTCCAGAGAACATATTTTGCACTGCTCCAGAGTCCAGTGGTGGTCTGCTTTACACCACTCTAGTGAACGCTTAAGCTTGTGTGCAACTGCTTGGCCATAGAAACCTTTTTCATGTACCTCCCAACGCGCAGTTCTTGTGCTGATGTTGCTTCCAGAGGCCGTTTGAAACTCTGCAGCGAGTGATGCAACAGATGAGAGGCGATTTTTATGTGCATGCTTGGTGGCTGCACTCTGTGAGTTTGCGTGGCCTACTGCTTTGTGGACGAGCTGTTGTTGCTCCTAGACACTTCCATCTCACAGTGCTATGTTTAAAGTCACTAAGGTCTTCAGGATGACTCATTCTACCACCAGTGTTTGTCAATGGAGATTGCACGGCTATGTGCTTGATTTTTCACACCAGTTAGCAATGAGCGTGGCTGAAACACCTGAATTCAATAATTAGCATGGCCATATAGTGTACATGGTAAGTGGAGCTGATAAAAGGGATAAAGAATGTAAATATAAGGAAGTGTACTTAATGAAGTGGCTGGTCAGTGTGTATATACATGAACTCTGGTAGAAACTCTCTATATATCAAAGGCAAATTAAATTCATCCAGTGTCACTGTACACATAAAAATGCACATATATATCTTTTTGAAGAACTTCTTGTCAGAGAACCTGCAGCTATATAGTACATTTTGGCTAACGGTACATTACAGCCAATGCTGAAACAGCTTGCGGTATGTCCGGTCCCCATCAATTCAACATACAGTAGTTGAGGCTGGACCAACCAAATGAGACAAAATTAACATGTGATTCCCTTGTGGAACAACACAATATTAGCAATGACATTTTCATCTCCACAAATCAGATAAGGTCACGGTCTGGGAAAATTTGATCCAACATAATCAGTTCACCGCTGAGGGTTGAGAGCTTTCGCCTACTCTTCACGCACCTGTTTCTGCCGGTTCACAGATTGTGGCCTTCAAGTAGCCTTCAGTACATCTCCTTACGGACGAGCGCTTTTGTACGTGCAAATCGCTCCTTAACGGCACTGATTTCTACTGAGGGGATCTGAACAGTCACGTTAAAGGAAGGATGGGAGATGAGATGATGGGCTGTGATATCTTCCTGAGTCTATTCCATGGAGAGTGGGGGGGGGGAGGAGGGAGGGAAAGAGAGAGAGAATGATGAGTGAGTCCGTAGCTCTAGAGGCCTGTCCATAGCAATACCGTTAATCCAATACAATATATCTATTTAATTCTCTAAGTCCGGGCCTGTGCAGCTGTTAATCATTTTTAACGCCTCTGGTATGACAAGGCAGGGGGTTTAACTCATATAGGCAGAGAGGGAGAGAGCAATTTGTCCAATCTTTCATACACTCAGTACTGACATCTTCTAACATTCATGAATACACAAATGTCAATTCGAACTGACGGCACTATCGGCACGTTACGATTTGCCGTTGCTACGAAAAGCACAGTAATGATCTAATGCAGCGTTATTAGTCTGCGATCGAGAACAAAAGAAACAGAGCAATTCTCGACAAGTAATTAAGACATATAGCCCATTCCCGTTACAGCAAAGAATGTTTTAATAATCTTTGCTCCGTTTATGTCTGGATTGCAATTATGGAATGTATTCATTTGGTGGAAAAAGGAGAAAAAGAAAGAGAGAGAGAGAGAGAGAGAGAGAGAGAGAGAGAGAGAGTGAGAGAGAGAGAGAGAGAGAGAGAGAGAGATGAACTTTCCTCACTGCTTATTTTATTGACATTGCCTGAGTGGAGAGTCCACAGGGACATGTTCCTTTTAAGTGGAAATTTTCCCATCTCTAAAGCACAAAGAGACAAACATAGGCATATTTGAGCTTCATTACCTGTGTTTATTTTATTGTTTATCCTTGTCTCTTGCTTTTAATATGGCTATAATTATACTCCCTTAAATGTGTCCTATTAATTTCTCAAAAATGCCTTTATATTTTTAAAGGTTAATATAAGGTAGCCTACTTTAGCCTGCATTGTTTAGGCACGCGTGTTCTTTTTCAGTGTAAGTATGGTTGTTGATTCCATATTAAAGAATATGCTACTGAACAAGCTGCCTGTGGGCTTAAACGCAAATTGAAGTAGCTTAGCCTATTTTGCCTGCTGACAGCCATGAAGTGACTGATGTCCGTCAAGATCCTTCTGTAATTCCCTCATGGATCAAACAAATGACGTCTTAGTCATGAGAGACACGTTTAACATTAGAGGGCAAAATTGTAAACAACTCTTCAACTTCTAATATGCAGATGTTTGCGGGTAATGCTACAAAAAACAGGTGTATTAGCAATAGCCTATGTTTCTTCAAAATGGGAATTTTAGAGATTGCTTCAACATTTCTGGATAAATACATTTAGTCACTCAGAGTGGTGTGATATCAAAGTGTGCTATTCTAGAGAAATTTACTGTATCACAATTGTTCACAGTGGTGGTGACAGGAACCAGATGTCATCAACATTACATACAATTGACTCAGAAAATCAATTTCAATAGCAAACAAAATGGCTATATTTGCTATGTTGATATTGCAACCCTGGGTTCCTACCACAACCTTTGTAAGAAATCTGTGTTGCTAAGTTTTCCTACACTGTTTCCCATCAAACCACTCTGGATGACTTAGTATTTAATGACTGAAGTATGTAGAAAGATTGAAAAATCCCCTTTAACTGAGAAGCACATGAACTGTGTCTGTATCTTCCTAAGTTTTTTCTCAAATTTGTTCTTAAGAAAGGTCCTTAAAAAAGTCCATGTCAGATTTATGATGTGTTCTTAAACCACAGAACTGTTCTCACCTCTGTGCTCTTGAGTGTGTGTAGATTCTGTTCTTACCTAAGAACAAATCCCAAATAAGACAACACTGGTTAACGTCAGAATCTTCATGAAAACTGCAGAAGTGAGTTTTAAGAAGAAAGTTCTTAAGAACGGTTGGTGAACGAGGCCCAATGTTCACTTCATTGCTAATCGAGATGCTAACCTTTGACACTTTTCACACGCATTTTCGTCAAACAGGCCCTAAAACGACGAAGGGAACTCGAGAGGACGCCTAAGCTGCATTTAAAACGAAGCACATGTCTAATTCAACACCTCTTAATAGAGCTAATAATAGGAATTATCTGTTCAGGTAAAAAAGGGAGAAAAACTCTCAATTTTCTCTCCTCATTTTCCCGCCTATGGTCTCTGTAGCCCCGCCCCTTCATCTGATCAAGATCCTTCAACTTGGCCTCGCCTCGCGGAGTCATACTTTTCAGCGCGGAGCGCGTGCACAGAGCAGCAGCAGCAGCCTCGGCTCTCACACAACTTGGGAGAAGAGTTGAGCCGCTCTCACCGTCGACAAACGATCGCGCGAGAGAGAGAACGACAAAAGCTGAAAAGCTGAGGAAAACACCGGTCCTTCTCAGCGTATTTCGTCCGTTGGAGACGATGGGCAGAGGGAGACGCTTTCGTCCGGTTTGGTACGGCGTCTTCGGCGCGCTGGTGCTGATGTTTCCAGCCAAAACAGAGATAAGTTGCAGGTCGTGTCAGCTGGCGACGGGCGAGTGGCGACCGAGGCAGCAGCTTTTGCTGCTGAAGCTGAAAATGGACACCCCCGAGTCCCTCCTTCAGGCAACAGGGTCCCGAGGCGAAGTTGCCGGAGATTTCGGCTCGTCGTCCGCCGGGGACTGGGAGCAGTGGGAGCAGCCTGAGAACGGCGAGCCGGAGGAGGGGAGGAAAGCAGCGGCGCCGTCGTCGAGGCGAAGACGGAGTACGAGCGGCTTTAGCTTGAACGAGGCGCTCGGCAAACTCGCTAAACTGGGCTCGACTTTAAGCCGCGGCAAAGTTCATAAGCGCGAGTTTCCCTGACGGCGGACCTGCTTCAGCTCAGCCTGTCTCGACTGATGCGCATCTCAGGCGCCGTGGACGTAGGAGCAGCAGCAGCTGGGGGGCAGAGAGCGGGGCGCCCCGGGCTGAGCTCAGGTGGAATAAGGAGGAGAGGAGAGCATCCAGCCCCAGGCAAGAGGAGCTGAAACTTACCAGCTCTACCTTCGCCCTGACCGGAGACTCCGCTCACAACCAAGCTATGGTTCACTGGTCCGGCCAGAACAGCAGCGTAAGTTTCATTAAATCGTCTTATTGGATATTTTTGGGGGGAGGGGGGCACATACTGTTCGGAAATTGGGAGAAAAAAGTGCGCAAGATGCAGCGGGGAGGCTGCTGGTGGCGACTGGGTGGTGGAGATGAATGCGCGCGCGCGCGTGCGTCTGTTTGTGCTGTGCGTGTGCGCGTGGGAGATTTAGGGCGCGCGAGGTTGTACGTCCTGCTGCTGCAGTGCCTTTTCGATACGGGCCAGAAGTGCATCCTGTACCTCCCTGACCTCCGGTGTTTCGTGCCGTTTGTGGGTGCAGGTGAATGAACCAGAAACGCAGTCGACGCCTCTGCTTTCCTCTCTGGAGTTACACAACAGCCAGAGCAAGCCGATGCTTCTTTTAACGGCGGTGCTGTCGCCTCCCAAACAGTCATAGGCCAGGTTCCGGTCAGGCGTCTGCTGAGTCCAGACCAGTTCTAGTCAGTGTTATATTGCGCATTTTCGTTCAAAAGATGCATCCCTGCTTGTCTAGTAGGCAGGAGGGTAGCTAGAACTTTTAGAAAGGGGTGGCCAGTTAGGAGGCAAACATTTTATTGGGGTGGCTCAATGTAAAAATGTGATCAGTGTGTGTTTTTATATATATATATATATATGTATATATATATATATATATATATATAGAGAGAGAGAGAGAGAGAGAGAGAGAGAAGAGAGAGAGCATTGCTGTATTATTTTTTTTTCTCTGTGCATAACTAAATCTATCCATCACTTCCACATGGATAAAATATCACATCAGTACAACTATGGCCAAAAGTAAACTGGAAGATAAAACTGTGTTGTAACATATTTCCTGATGAATGAGTAGAATGTGTGTGAATCAGATACATTAAATGCATCACTTTTGTCAGTTCACTTTAAGAAAAAAGCATCTCATATAGACAAGAGCCATAGAAGTTATTCATTTAGGTTGCATTCACTACAGGTTATACATAAGTCTAGTGATTAGAAATCTAGCCAGACAGCACTGTATAAGAGAACCTAGAACACATGCATGCATTAAATTCTAAAAATAATTAGCGCAATAAATAATTATAGCTGACTAACTTTTGACAGTTAACCATACCATCATACCATCACATAGCCTAGTAGCAAGATATGCTAATTGTTAAATGCAGTGTCATCAGGCTGTCATTAATGATTGGTAACTACCCTGATGGAAGATTTTTACCATAAAGCATAATTGGTGTTTTAGTAATGATGGCTCATTGTTTCACTTTCTATAGCTAGGGTGGCCAAAAGGGTGGCCATGCTTCATTCCATCTGAAGAGATTTGATAGAGTAGTAAATGTTGTGTAAGTCCCATAACAGTAAACACAAACCAACATATCTAGCGTAAAGTTCTGATACTAATATTGATTGATGCTTAGAACTACTACTTGTGTTGGGTCGGCAGTATGAGCATATTTGTCATTATCGTGATGAATTGCATCACAATATACTTTTTATAGATATCACCAATATAAATGCATGTTTCTTTAAAAAGACAGCATAATTAGTCCTGAACAACTGAGTTTAGAGCAGTGTAGTATGTGAAATATTGAATAAAAATGAATGATGCATCAAAATGACAATTCTTGGCTAAATTGATACTTCACTGTAGGCCTGATTCATTTATTGTGTAACAGATTTTGGCCTTTTTTCTCTTTTGGCCAAAATTTGTGGCTGAAATTTCCATGAATCCCTAATAAAAAAAACATTGTATTCAAAGTTTTTGATGGTGAATTTTAAATTACTGGGGCTTTTTCCAACTTATCAAACCCTTGAAAAAAAATGAGCAAAAATGAAATCATTTGTCTTGAAAAGAGGCGTAATGTTATATTTTTTATATCACTCACTACTTTATCCATTTGTTTCATATTTTAACCATTTTATTTGTTGTATATTTTACCCACTGATTTTAACCACAAGTCTTCTGCTGTTACATGGTTTTGATTTGTAACAAATGGCACAACAACAACCTCTGTACTTGTTAATTCTTTGCTAACATATGTTGTAGCTATTGCTGTAGGATTGCAGCGCAATATGGCACGTCTCTTCTCTATTTCCCATTAGCATATGCAGAATGTAGTTGCAGTGTGTAGTTTTTCAGCCCTTACAGTATGCTTCTCCCTGGCAGTCTTGTCAATGCTGAAGTTTTTGTGCCTCTGGCGAGATTCAGGGACATTTAATTCTTTATTTAAGCACTTTATTCACTTATATGGCTCGGTGCTGGAGAGGTAACAGTCGGGCGCTGAAAAACTCCGAAAACTTTAGATCAGACTTGTGACAGGTTAGATCACCTTCACCCTTCTCCAGTAGCAGAACTCAGTCTCCTTTCAGTGCTCAGAATCCTCAGCGCCATTGTTATACCCCTTAATTGAATTTTTCCACAGTTGCACTGTGAATAGGGCGGATTCAATAGAGGAACTTTTTAGGGATTTTGTTCCCTCTCTGTTACTGTGCGAGACATAGTTGGGAACCTCACAATGGATTGAATAAAATGGGGCGTTGTGTTAAATATGCAGTTTTAGTGCAGTGGATAATGGGTAGGAGAATAGTGCAGGAAGTATTTGTTACTGTATGAATGCAGTGCAAAACAAAAGACGAGGTTCTTAATGGTTCTGTCCCGCACGAATGTAAATGAGGATTAATGGAGGGATAAAGCCTCTGGGTGTTTACTTAGACGCTGTGATTGTTTATGTACTTGTATGGAAAAAGTGTTTGTGTGTGTGTGTGTGTGTGTAATGTAGTGACTCCATCTGCAGCTCATGGAGGGGTCGGGCATCTGCTTTCTCACCACGGTCTAGCCACCATTTTTTTCACACGCACGCACTTCCACAGGGCCAGATGGACCACCCTCCTGAAGATGCCCAGAAAGCATGTTTCTCTCCACAGCTTGTGTTGCACACTGCCATACGTCTACATCCAACAGGGCTCAGGTTGTATTTTTCAACGACTGTTCATGTAAGATAAGTTTTTAATGAATATAGATTGTTACTTTCACCTTGAAGTGCTTGAAGCATTATAATGATTAGCCATGGGGTGTCAGGACTCAGTGCTTTTGCATTGTAACAGCCAGGGCTTAGTTATGATTTATCACCCATAAGTGTGACTCTTCCTCCCAGCGTGATGCCTCATCACCAACAGGACAGATATTTCCTCACAAAACAGTAACCTTAATACCACACATTACAGAAATTTTGCACAGGATTGCTTATTTTCACGTTAATTAATTTGGCATATGTCAATGTTTTTACACTTGGCACATTACCGTGGGTCATTTCTACCTATAGGTGGTATAAGCAGCTGTTTAGGGACCCCAAATATTTGTTTTTATGCCGAGTGCAGAGATTTTATTACTTTGTTTATTTATAAAATTTATCAAAGTATTCATTCTTGTTCTATCATTACATAGAAAAAAATATGATAAGGGTGGGTGTGGGTCCAAGTATGATGTCACTTCGGACCCTGAAATGTTCAGAAATGTCCCTGACAATACACCATATCCCACATATCACTGAATGTGAGTCTCTAAGTCGATGTTGTCTGTTGCACTTTGTCTTGTTTGTGTACTGATGTCTTTGCACTGTGTTTAAGTGTAAATATATAATTTGTGTAATTGCATCTTTGCTAGTGTAGTACACAAAGTCTCCCCCTTTGGGGATCAATAAACTGTATCTATCTATCCATCTAACCATCTATTAATCTAGAGTGTAAGTATGTATAAATTAGACACCTATCGACCAATCAAGGAAATGGGTTTAGTCTTCACAGGGAGCTTCATTCACATATCAGTAGATATGTGTAGAGATTTGGTCAGCTCATATAGGACAGGTAACTCATAGGCCAGAGACAGAATAGAATGATGCTGATGAAGCTAACATGGTTGTAATGGTTTGCAGGGCTGGGTATCATTTTAAATAATCACTACAGATACCTTGGTTTTGATATGGATTCCTCAATGGTCCTTTTTCGATACTTTCTTGCTATTTACAAACTGTGATTAAAATGAGTATGAAGTGCTGCAAGTGAATGTATTTACTAATCAAGAAGTGCTGGTTAATAACATGCTTACAAAATATAATTTAGACAGCCAGTCAGCAGTGTAGATTTTGGACAGACTATTTGGTTTTGAATGAGTTTTTCAATACTAGTAATGTGGCTGGTACCCTAAAGGTACTGAATTCTGAACCTCTGCCTTAACAGTAAGCGTTAACGGAAAGAAGTGAAAGTTTGGCTTAGCTTTAAGCTTGAAAAGAGCAGCTTGTGATAAACTTCACTGGCATGGACATTGAAGCATTGTAAATTTCAAACATTTATTGATAGACCTTTAATGTCCACGTTCTAGCAGCATGTAAATGTCTTTTATCTGTTCATACTTACCAATATATCATTGTGCCATTTCACATGCTCCTGAAAATGGTCTACACACAGCTCTATGAAATGACACCCAGCTCAGGTGACATTTCATCTGGTTCCCAAAGAACAAAGACATCTATAACTTGCATTTCTGTTCTTCCTGATCAAGGGAACTCTTCCTAGCCATCAAAGCACTGGCTCCTTTCACTTTAGAAGGAAAAATCCACCAAAAAACGCAAAATATTTGTTTCAGTAAAAATCATAAAGAAAGGCCGTCATTGTTGATAGGCTGATATGAGAGATAAAAGACAGACGAAACGATCTGCTTCTTCTCTTTGTGTTTCTTGTTCAGAATAGAACCAACAGTTCTGCAGGCAATTAATGACAACTTGATCACATGAAGTTCCTGTTAACGTTGTGAAATATGCTACCAACACCAGCTGTCACACTCACGAGACCGACTCACGCTAACGTCACTGCGTGCTAAAATCTATTTCAGGCTGCTTTTTGCGTACCGTGCACTTGAAGTGCTACATTTGCAGAAAGAATGAGAGAAAATAGGACTGATCGTGCAAAGCCACCTCTCCAGTTTTCTTCACTCTCCTAAAAAATGCTCCTAATTGGAT